GGCCCTAATGCTTTTCTTCACTTGCTTGTTTGCTTCTATGTATTCAGCTTGTGCTTGGACTTTCTCTGTTCGTGTTCGGCTGTTGTTAATTGCTGTCTTCTTGTTCTTCCTTTCTTTGATCTTGTCCAGTGTTTCCATAGAGATCCATTCCTTATAGTGTTGCTTCTTTAGACCCAGAACCTCTTGACACGTTGAAGTTAATGCTTCCTTGATGCCTTTCCAGTTGTCCTCCATGCTAGTTTCTTCTTCTTTCAGTAGATCTTGTAAGGCTTGGAACCTGTTGTTGGGAGCTATCTTGAATTCATTGAGTTTGTCAGTATCTCGAAGGAAGGCTGTATTGAACCTTTGTAATGCTGTTTGTCCAGTTGTCCAGTTCTTTTTTAGCTTCAGTTTTAAATTGGCTACAACTAGGTAGTGATCTGAAGCTACGTCAGCACCTCTCCTTGTTCTCACATCTTCCATTGTCCTTCGGAATTTTTTGTTGATGCAAATATGATCTATCTGGTTCTCGGTAGTGTGGTCTGATGAGAACCATGTAGCCTTGTGTATACGCTTGTGTGGAAATATTGTGCCCCCTATGACCAATTTGTTGAATGCACATAGATTTGCAAATCTTTCTCCTTTTTTGTTTCTCTGTCCCAGTCCATGTCGTCCCATAATATCTTCATATCCAGTGTTGTCTATTCCGACTTTGGCATTTAGATCTCCCATCAGAATAGTTAGGTCCTTTCTTGGGGACTTCTCTATGATTGACTGCAGCCGCTCGTAGAACTGATCATTAATGTCGTCGTTGCTATCATTGGTGGGTGCATAACATTGGATAATATTCATTAAGATCCCCTCCTTCTTTGTTTTGAATGATGCTTTGATGATTCTGGATCAGTGAGATTCCCATCCTACAAGTGCATTTCGTGCTACTTTGAGCAGCATAAGAGCGACTCCCTGAGTGTGTGGAGCATTGTTCTCTTCATGACCGGAGTATAGCAGCATCTCTCCCGTAGCTAGCCTTTTTTGTCCAGCTTGGATCCACTGGGTTTCGCTGATTCCCAGTACTGCTAAGTTGTATCTCCTCATTTCCCTTGATATTTGACTGGTCTTCCCGGTTTCCCACATTGTTCGAACGTTCCATGTACCTATAAAAACTTTTGCTCTGGTTGTTAGAAGGGGCATCGGCCTCACGGCTTCCGAAGGAACTCGGCTTTCACCATGAAGCGTCATAATTCTTCTAAATGAAGACCCTCTAACTCCCAGGGCAGAGTTAAGATGGTTTGGATTATTTTTTTTGGTGTTTTTTTAGCGAGTTAGTTTTCTAAGGGATGGGGACGCTAACCCCATGCCCAACCCTCCTCCTTTACCCGGGCTTGGGACCGGCAGTAACTCTAGAAGAGCTACAGGTGGAATAAAGATAACAGGGACAATTACAATTGACTACAAAAGGTCATAGTCAAATTAGGTCATTCAATAGTTAAGATTACGATTGATTAATTGGCCTTGATGTTGGCCAGGGGAGGAGGAGTGGTTGAATATATTTCTTCTGTACGCAAAGCTCCGGTTTCTTCATCCGGATGGCTACTGCTTCATATTAGTGTATTCAACTTAAGAATCTTAAACTTAAAAATTACGAACTTTTTTTGGTGAACGAATAAAAATAAATTACCATATCTATTAGCTGTGAAATGATTCAAATCCTAATCATAAAGTGCTGATATCTAACTGATAAATAGAAAATCTGGGTTCACCTTTCCTAATAAATCAATCGATTTAGCTATCTAAGCACTTAAGTTTTATCATACCCTCTTCCGATATTATTGTTATTATGATCACCATTATTATGACTACTTTACCGCACATTTTTCGGTAACTATTAATTTTATTATTTCGTTTGATCATAACAACTTGCAAGTTCCTCTTATGTTTGATTACGTCATGATCTCTCGCTCACATGCAAACTTATTCCATAGTGCTATAAATTCCACTTTTTATAAACATGGAAAGTAAACGTAGTCATTTTTCACTACTAGACAAAATGCTCTTGTGCATGTTACTCAAAAAATCACAATTGTAGAACACTATTTAGTTTTACAAATTATTGTGTATGTAGAAGATTTAGAGCAGACGAAGTGAAATGTGTTCACTTCATCCTACAATTTCGTCTGTTTTACGGACGTTACATACATCTAAAAATACTATGCAATTCATCAACGACCATAATAGAAATGTTTTATTACCTGTAATAAATCGGTCGGTGGTTATACATGCTGTAATCAAGTAATCATAATCACAAAAACCTAATTTATTCTCAATAACGTTTGCACTCAAGTCATTAAACACATATGTGATGACATAACTTTGATTACATGGACTACAAATCAAAAACCACAGTTTTTACTTATTAGAAAGTAGATTCTGTATTGTGTGGTTGGAATTACGTTTTCCCTGGTTCAAGAGGGAACGAACAGAGGACAGTGTAGTGAGAGTTAACCAAGCAGATTTTACAACCCTTAGGCTGCATCACAGTTACTTCGTTATGATTGAACACGACTGGTAGATAGATTAAATTTCATTGTTTTACAGGTACTCATGCTCAAAATGAAGACAGATAAGTGTCAAATATTACATGTAAACAATGATAGAAACATTATCTGAACTGTGTATTGCAATTAACTCAATATCGATACCACAAATAAACGTTTTTATGAACCAGAGATAAATAACAAGCATAATTGTAATAATTGTTTAAAGACTTAATCCACTATAGAACGAAGAGAATCAAACATGAAGGTGAAAACCCAAGTTTTATGATGATTTTAAGAAAAAAGAAATTTTCTATTTCTAACTGAAATATACATTTTATATCTTTCAACGGTAGTTCTTAGCTCAGAGTTGAGTTTAATTAATAAATAGTTTTAAAATAAATGTAAAACGCTTATCCATCATCAAACTAAGAACAATCCTGCTTATAATGTGACTATATTCTCGAATCAGAATTGTCTCTCTTGGTCTGTTAAAGGACGGTGTGTACAGAAAAGGGCAGTATACTTACTCATTAAACTATAGTTTTTCTAATCACAGGCTGATCCAAAAATGTCCTGAACCCCTATTCAGCTTATTTAAGATGTCTTATTTTTAAATAAACTTATGAAAATACATCAGAAAACAGTTTTATACGAAGACCCAACAGATGAATATCAGTTTAAAACCGCTAATTTTATACACTGGATGTAATACTAAGTTAAACATTGATTCTTATTTCACTAAAAAATTTCATGCCTTTGCTACTGCGCTTTCGTATTCATTCCAAGTGAACAGAATGCAGTACTCGTATTATGTATGAGGACATCTTAGTTGTAAGGAAATCCATAATAGCTTGTTAATATTTTTAGGTCCCACTCACACAAAAATGTAGATCGAAACTGAATACATAAACCAGTGATTTACTGCATTAAATATTTAATTTTGCATGACTTATAAAGTATGGAACAAAAATTAAATCGGACAAAATCACAAAAGATCACGATAAACATTTTGTGAAACAATTAAACCAACTTATCTACGTTGCCAAAAATCAAATACGTTGGCAGATTTGTGAAAACTACATTGATTTACACTTTCAACATAACTTATATCAGGAAGAGTAAGCAGTTAGCATGTTTTCTCATTCAACTGATGTCTACAGTGAATAGGCGGACTCAGTGTCGTTGACCCGATGTATTTTAAGTACTCCACAATTACACTTTTAACAAAAACCCTTCACAAGATGATTGATAATCCAACGTTATAGTTTGGATCATGCACCAAGAACTAGATGCTACTATCTCGAATTCGATTAGTGAAGTTACGTCATAAATATACTATGTAAGTAGTAAATATTCAGCTACAACAACTATTTCCCTTTACCAATAGGATTATGTAAAATACAACGTTCCATGATTTACTTTACTTCGCACTCAACATGAATTTCTAATCCACAAGAAATAATAATCAAGTTTACGAAACGTTAAATAGAATTAAAACACCAATCGATGGAACACAGCTGTCTTTTAACTGGTTTCATATTAAAGAAAATACAGAAAAAAGACTAATATTTTGGTTACACTAAAATTTGCCGTATAAAAAACCTACTTGACAAACAGCAAAAGATTGTGTAAAATAAGCTATCTTAAGTGTAAAAAGGAGATAAAAAAATTTCTCCCAGAGAAAGAATGAGAGAGGAGATAATGGTTGACAAGCGTTGAGGTAAATATGACATTATGGTGTAAAAAAGAAAATTCTAGTCGTTCATCCTCTGGATATTCTTTTTTTTGAAATAATATATGATACATCATAATATGTCTAAAGATTGTAGGAGATTATTATTTTTCACAGTATAATAAAACATGAATATGAATACACATTTGCCTGTCGAGGAACATTTAGATGTTCAAAATCATTTAATGTGACTGTTTGCGTAAGCTGGTTAATTCACTAATAAATCAATGTGTAGGTTTGTGCATTTATCCGTACGGTAGCCTATTTGTTGAACATAGTGTTTAGACGTGTGTGTTTGTATGTGTTACACGGCAACAACAACAACAACAAATCAATATAAACAACCCAACATCAACAAGGGTAAAAAAATGTAATATGTATCTATGCACTTATCCCATAAAAGGTTAAGTCTTGTTAACTATTAAAACGAGGTCAAATATTGATATATAGATATATCACAGTTGAAAAACATATTTGGTAAAAAAAAAAGAATACTATTTTTTATAAGAAAAATTGTACTTGAAAAGTTTTAATTTACTTATCCGATTGATAAATGGAATAGGAACATAGAAGAAAAAGATTTAAGAAATAATTTAATACAGTTTTAATGTACATTCACAAAAATGTATTCTAACAAGAAATACTACTAAAACTTAACGTTATTAGTAGACATCGAAACACAACCATGATAAGAAAAAAAGGTTGATTTATATCAAAGTAAATGAAGAAATATATATAAAAAATATGCAAATTTAATATAATTCATTTAAATGTCCAGCATGTTCTTCTAAACACTTTAAATGTGCATCAATTTTTTGTTCTAATAACATGGAATGCTTTTGTTCATCCACTAAAAATTGTGCAGCTAAATTATAAACATTTGTATCTTCTTCATTTAAACTATTATGATTAATTTGAGAGTGATATAATGATATTGATGATGATGGTGATATGAATGTTGAACAATATGATGGTAGATGAAGATTTGACTTCTTTTCAAATGATGATGACTGTTCCTAGAAATCAATAAAAAAAACATTAAATGAATTTGGGGGAAAACAAGTAAACCAAAATAAACAACTAGTGATTTTGCAATGAGTAAATATTATTTGAGAAAACTAGTGATTTATGTCATTTGTTCAGAGATGGGTTTTAAAGATAGCTAAACTGAAAACTATGATCGAGAAATTTATTTGTATTGGTTATTTGAATCTTCCCGATGATGTGTCAGGGACTAATGAATCAAACCTCATCTCATCGCACAATTCAGTAGCTATCTGGACTCAGCAACTAAGTGGGTAACGTAATGGCGTTTGGAGCGAACGGTAGTGTGTTCAAGTCCCGGGGTGAAAATCAATTCAGGGATGCAGGTACATCCAGCTGATGAGTCTCAAATAGAACGGAACACGCGTCCTGGATTTCACTAATAACTACCATCCATCTCCATGATCGAGTGTTTGAGTATTTAGTGACTAGGTCAGAATTTTAACATAATAATCATATAGAAACAAGTAATTGGTCATGGAGCAGTAACCATGTTGTTTAGTCCCCAGTGCTGATCGAATTCTATTGGTTTAGCCACAATATAGTCAGTAGGCTAATTAACTCGATATCGCCCAGTACTATATTTTACGTTAGCTTTCTGAAAGCAAAGCTATAGATCTACATTTTGTCCCAGATAGCACCTATCGACAAGGTTCATCAGTAGTTTTCAGGGACCGGATGCTATATGTTCATTTCGAATCCTCATCAACTAAGTGTTCGCCAAAAAGGAAGCTAGGTGCAGTACAGTCATGACAACTTAGAGGCGTGGCAGCTGAGCCCAGAGGACAACTACATGGGGCCGATCACACAGCTTTTTTTGACTAGTTTATGATATTTAGGCTCCGTACTTTTAAAACCTTACTGTTAGTGGCTGCAATCAGTGCGGCAACATGAAGTGTGGTATTTTTAAGGCTTAATTTTACTAACCCTTTCTTTCTGTTGTAGGAAAAAAGCATCACCACAGATAGCTGTTATCACAGAGGAATTACCATACTGTCGTCACATCTCTGTAATCAGTCGTAGACCTTTGCTCTCAAAAGCTAAACTTACTGTTTTTAGCTCTACAGCTCTTTAATTGACGTACCTGAGCATAATATGATCCAAAGAAACTAGTGTTCCAGTCAATATAGCTCAGATGAGTTATCGAGATAAACAAGACCGATTCGTTAAGTCAAGGTAATGGCCACAGTCTGAATTCTTGTAGACGTAGCTTCACTTTACATAAGTAGATATTGAAGTCAAAGCAAACAAGAATGACACAAACAAGTTAAGGACATGAATAACATGAAAAAGGGAATACAATTACAAGAAGATTGTCATTAAAAAAGATTATTAAACATAAAACAACTACTTTCAAATCAAATCACTTAAAGTTTTCGACTATTATTTTCTATTGTCTTGTTAAATTTAAACAGAATGCTTACAATAAAAGATTGTGCTTATTCTGATGTGTAAAATGAAAATGAAAAGAAAAAGAAGCAAACTTTGAATCGTTTGAAATGATTGGATTAAGTCATATCTTTCTTCTTTACAAAATGCTTTAATTGTCAAGAATCTAACATGTATAGACTAAATTAATTTGGAACTTATATTAAGTATTTTATCGAAATGATATCAATGATAATCATGAAGTAATAACTTAAAAACTGTTTTACAAGGACAATTAAGTCATTAATTTTAATCAATAATTTGTTGTATAATTAGCTAAAACATCATATTCTATTATACTTACTTCACTTGACAAATTCATTGATTGATAACAATGAAAATTCGTATCTGATTCAACAAATGTACTATCTTGTGTGAAAACAGAGAAGTGTGGAACACATGTGGATACAATTCTAATTGAATCAGTAGAATAATTCAAACATGAATTTGGAAATGAATCAATAATAGTTTCATTGATTTTGGCAAATTTTGATATTTCAGAAACTGGTGAATTTAACGTCAATAGTGTGGGTTCTAAAACAGCAGCATAGTCATGCTTATCTAAACTGTGAATTTTAAGAGTAAAAGATAACCATTGAAAAATTATTAAAATCATTTTTTGTGAATTTACAGTAAACAAAAGGAACTGACTTTACTAACTATGTTCAACGAGCGGTTTTAAACTTATGGTGCGATAAGAATGACAGAATATTTACCAAATATTAAGTATACAGAATAATCTATTTCAATATAACTTGCCAAACACAGGTTTATGTACTCCGCTCTTTGAACCACACTTTTTATACTAGGGCTAGTGATACTATCTGGCTAGCCAAAGTGAGGTAGTCAAACCGGATTTCATACTTGTGACTTAGTAGTTGACAGTTGAGTACGTTAACCACTAAGCTGTCGTTCCGCAGACTATTAAAGTTATGTTTTATAACTGCGATACAGCCACTGGGCACAGACCACAGAGAAGCTATCAATGAGAGTAAAGTAACCTATAAGATTTAAGGAAATTACACCGCGAGTGACCTACTGCAATACTGAAGCTGATTTATCAATCAACAATAATCGATCTCGTGTTGCATATTTCTTAGTGTTAATCAAATCAAATCAGTCAGGTTGAACAGTATCTACTATTCTAAGTGGTTTGATATCTCGTGTACTTAGTCTGAATTTAAGGTACTTAGAGTTAATCTTATCCCAATCAATAATATCCACCAACTATGACTATGTAATTCAAATAAAATATGTAAATATCAGATAATGCAATATATTTTTATAACGTTTTATATATTATAAAAGTATTCACGAACTAGAATCACGATTATCATAGATTAACTAAAGGTGAAAATAGAGACCAATAAAACATAGACACCTTCTAGTTAAATGGATCTAGAAATCTTAAATTCAATCTCACATGAAGGAAGAGTGTGTGTGAGAATTCTGATCAACTGTTTCAAAATTGAATGAAACAGTTTCGTGGAATTAATGAGTTGTGGCCAGCAGTGGGATTCAGAACACATGCTCCATAATATTTAAGACTCATCAGCAGGATAGATGGATATACGAGTATTGATGTCCCCGTTAGTACTCGAACCGAGTACTTTCCTGATTTAAATACTAACAAGTTATACACTGAGGTACATAGTCGAGATGGTTACTTGATTGTCAAATAGATATATAAATATTAGTAAGAGGGTGCTATTATCCCGTCGCTGATATTCAAGATTAAACCTTGATCAGTTTTCCGAAACTCGGCCATGGAAATGGATGGAATAATTCAAACGTTTGTTAATAATGATATAGATAAAACGGTTGTGTAAAATCCTCCCTAACGTATGAGAATTCTCAATCTGACACAACATCGTCATTACGAAAAACACTCTCAGCAGGGATAAACTGTTATGGATGTAGAATAATGTGCCAATCATTATCATGTTAAGTCTAGTGATGTCCTTGGACGTTAAATGGACATTTTCTATTGGCCATTATTTATTTCATCCGTTAAATATTGTACAAATGCTGTTTTCTATTTTTATGGTACGATGTGGTATGTTTGGCTAGTATATAAATAGAGTATGTCTGAAATACAATGATTCATATCTCCGAGGCTGTGACTTGTGTTCTGGACTCAACTAACTGGGCTAGACAGGGAAGTGGGACCAATCGAGACTCTAGGCCGTACGTACGTGTTTACGTGTCGTTGAATCGATCGATAAATACACTGCTCTCTAATTTTTCCAGTCAAGGACACAACAATTAGCACAGGGTAAGAATCGACCGCAAGTTTAAAGTCATAACGTAAACAATGCGTGAGCTAAGGAGAAATAAGCTAATCAAGAGAAAATAATACGAGGTATGAAATAAAAGAAAATTATTAAAGACAACTTATTTTATTCTTTTTCACTTATACACATACAGATAAAAGTTTTGGGAAATTAGTTATTCCCTTTAAGAACATTGTTCAAGGTTATCTATTTCTGACGCCAACGTAGCGAAATAAAAGATCTGATCGGGCGCTTCATTTAACAGTACAACTAACAAAATGTGAACGTGAAAATTATATATTGATTTCAAAAATATGCAATCCTGGTTATGCATTTTTCAATATTAAATAATTTGATGTATGAATGTAGAAGAAACCATATTTCTGTAAACAATCCATTTATTTCAAATATCCTATGTATGACCAAATATTGTTTACATGAATAAATGTTAAGAGTTCTTTGTTTTGACCTTGTAAAATACAATGTTATCCGAAAGATGAAAGGATAATACAAACATATATTATTTAGAAAAAACTACTTATTCTAGCTTAGTAATGAGTAATGGTGATGATAGTCATAGAAAGTAAACGTGAATATTCTGTTCTGCAGCTCCCATCAGTCATAAAACAAAAAAACTACTTCTACACTATGATACTTTATTGTGCTTAGCATCTTGTAAGTCGTGTAATCCTACTCCTTTATGAAGTATAAGTTGTAATCTAAGTTTTATCCACTATAGAATTCATGGATTCATGTGAGTACTTCAATCGAGATTGCTATATTTATATTCGATAATTTTGTTGTTTGATTATATTTTCCTTGAAAAAGCTTGGACCAGATTGCCAGGCGAAACGTTGGATTTACTTATAATTCATTCGCTGAGATTTTACAAATATATTCTTCTTTTTAATGTCTCAAATTAACTCGGCGCCCAAATATTGTGAAACTATTCGTTCAAATTTAGACGAAAGTTCTTATAAATTATATTTATGTTCCAATACTTAATCTAAAGAAAATATTAATAAGTTAGCCAGTAGAACCTGCCATGAGTACGCATTGGTTCATGTTTCCGAAACTTAAATCAATTTTTACCAAGGGAATAAGAAGGAAATAGAAGGGAATAGTATAAAATACAACCGAAACATGAACAGCAGAAATACAGTTTTTAAAAAAACGAATGAGATCTCAGAAGAAAACATTTAAGGATGACACAAGACTTTAGAAATAGAAAAAGGCTGAGAATAATTGCAATAGTGCCACAGCAACCGATTGCGCGTCTTATCACACAAAGTAGTCAACGGCAAGTTACAACTATTATACGAGCCAGGATCAAGAATCTCGAATATATTAACATGACTCATACTATCCATTAATGACTTGATGAGGTAAAACTATGTTTAAATATGGCAGCCTCTAGGTTTTTTCATACTTACTCCTTAATTAATCAGAACTGCACATTGTGATAAGCGGAACAAAAACAAAGTAACTCCTTTTAGATACACTCTACAAATTTTTATTTTATTTGAATGCAACTTACCAAGTGCCGATTTTTGCACTCAACTATGAGTTAAATGCTTTTTGTAAGAGCTAAAGATACCACCCAGTTGTTCGAATTGAAATAGAATATTTTAACCTTACAACAAAATACTTATTATGATTTATATGCTTTAACCGCTTTACCACTTATAGCCACACTTCCGAGTGTAAATTTCTAATGCTAAAAAGTTAGTGAAATTTATAATTATTATTAGTACGATTGGTTGAAAAAGACTGAATTGAACAACATTCTAAGTAACTTACTCGATTAATCCATTTTCGTTTGAATTGATACCATTATTATTATCATCCAAAAATTTAACTGAGGGTGACAACAATTTAAAGCGTGCCGATGGTATTGGTTTACATGATGCAACAACATCAGATTCACCGGGTGGAAAAATTTGTTTTTCATCTTTATTTTTAAATATTTTGTTTGGTGTAATTTCTACTGACTGTTCAGAATTTTTAGATTCGTTACAAACATCCGTAGAGTTAGCAAGTAAATTGATGTTACTGTGAAAATCTTGTTTGAAATTCGGACAGTTTTTGTTTCCTTGATTAATTTGAGCCTGAGAGTGATTGACTTCCATTTCAATTTGCTTATTGACTAGATCTACTGGAGCGTTAACAGTTTTACGATGGATATTACTATTTGATTGATTGATAAATAGTGTTGAATTAAGATCAGCACAATAATTATTAGGTATTTTATTCAACTCTTCCGTATTTGTTAATGAGTTGGACGAAGTGAGATTTGTCTATTAAGAAATAATTGAATGGAAGATAACAATTTTTGAAAATTAATGTTATTGAATAAAATTAAAAGAACTGAAAACCCAACTAGAATATCGAAAGTAAAGGAAAAGATATTTCGAAATAACATTTTACCGCAAACACCTACAGTTATCAGTAGTATATTCGTAAAGAAGCAGGTAATTAACTTGAAAACGAAAAGGTAGAATCCATGACAGAAGAAGTTCGTATTCATTCACCGATCATATTACCAAGGATAATCAATAGACAATACAACTAAATTGATGTACACTTTGGAAACTGTAGTGTACTATAAATCATTTGTAATGGAATAAAACATCAAGATGTTAATCAAGTCAAAACATTCCGGATTTAAACCTATTAAGTAGATCCCGTTATGTTCACAGTGCGAGGTAGATGACCCTGTATAACAGTTTAGATATGTGTTCTTAAGGAATTTCAAAGTGAGACACAAAAGGTGTTCAGAAAAGTTTGCTGAACGAAACGTTGGAGTTATTTAAATTTCAATCTCTGAGATTATTTCAAATATAATATCCACATATAATAAATCATTTTAAATTATATTACTTTAACACATAATCAGTAGTAAAAATCAATTGACAAAATTGTGCCTGATGAAGTTCCTGAAGAAGCGGTGAGTCAAATGAATGTGTAACTGTAACTCTCCCACAAGAACTGCTTTTATTTTATTGAAAACACTCTTGACTTAATTTTAGATAACTTTGATTTCTGGTTTAAAATGACAAGAATAACAAGAATTGTAATACCAGTAGGAATTGTGATAGCAGCCTATATCATTTTACCTGAATTTCAATAGCTTTTGTTCACTTAGTTACAAGGCATTAGTTAAAACACTATTTTATAGGGCAGAAAGGATATGTACCACTGACAAACTGGAAGAAGAATTCATGGGAGTGGAAAAATGCCTACGAGACAACTTTTACCCACAAAAGTTTATTGACAAGTATAAAATGCGTAAAGAAAACAATACTGAAGTAATTACTTAATAAAAATAATAACTATAAGTCTTAACTTCAAAGGTGACGAGGTTGCAAACACAATCAACAGGAGACTCAATACTGCGATAGCCAGAACTTATCCGGCGGCCAAACTTCAAATTCTGTATAAAACAACATGCTCAATAACTCAATCAAAGGTTGATAAGCATCCTTTTCATGTTACCGCCAATTGTATTTATAAATTTACGTGTACCTGCCAAAGCAGCTACATTGACCGAACAGAAAGGAGGGCATATCTCAGATTTTTTGAACATGTTCCAAAAAGCCTCAGAACAAGAGAAAGAAAGACTCTAAACAGTACAATCACCAAACATCTCCTTGATACAGGACATCAGGTCGATACCCTACAATCATTCAAGGTGATTAGTAAGCATCCAAACTCTAGTCTTCTGAAGTTTGCTGAAGCAGTTGCTATCAGGCGCCAAAAGCCTGATTTATGTGTGCAAAAGGAGATGGTTATTAATCTTTCCTTGCCTTGGTGATTAATATTCCTTCGTTATATCTTAATATTTTTCCTTTTCTTTAAACTCTATCTTGCATTTATCACACCATTGGGTTTTATTCCAACTATCTTATTTTATCAACTGAACTCTGCTCATTTTATTCCTATCAATGTTTACTTGTTTCTAGCCGTTTGAACTGTTGTCACAATGTTCTTTCATTACATAAGGTATATATTTACAATATTCAGTCTATTAAATTTATTTACACCCTTGCTATACTACACGAATATGTCTTCAATATAACTTCCAATCAAACGCTTTCATGTAAGTAATTTAAACCCATTAATTATGATTTTAAATACCACAGGTTGTAAGCAGCTGACGAGAACCAACGAAATAAAAATGAATTCATGCTATTCTGCTAGAATGTTTGTCCTTGCTCTTTTCAAAATGATAAAGGGAACTATGTGTATGTCATTTTAAATTGATGTAACACTGCAACCAAATAGAATAATTATATTTTAAGTGGGAAAAACTTGCATAGTCATATACATATTTTGATGATCCGCAGATATGACAAAATATACGGTTCTTATATTTCATATGTGTTAGCGGGACATATATTGGATTAAATCATGCTCAATGCACACGCTGATTGACTAATTCTTATCCAATCAGCGCTGGTCGATACTTGGAGAATACTCTAGAAATCTTCTCATGTAAAAACTATAAATAAACTAACGTTTTTCCTATTGTGCTTCTTACTTAAATATAACCTTTTTATTTGGAATATAATCTCTTAGTATCCGAAAATACTAAGCAATAGGAATAGCTGAGTTGTAATAAGAGAGAATTATAACAATATGCGATCACTTGCCAAAGAGAATTTATTAAATAGTAAGCACTTATGAAAAGATAAGTGTAAATGGATTATTGATAGAATTATTCGTCAAATCATGTTTTAATTTCTTTCTCGAGAAAAATTCCATCAGTAAAGAACGTTATAAAAGTAAGAAAATGGTGTAGTATATGTTGAAAATTTAATTAAAGCTTTGACTAACTTAGGAAACAAAAGAGTTTCGACCGAGATTCCGGACAGATTTCCTCGGAATTATAAAATATCTAAACATAATCAACCACTTTTTTTACAACTATCTAGAAATTTACTTTATGTTGACTGGCAAGCAAAAACAACGCAAAATTAATAAACAAAAATCGGAATACCAAGCGCTGCCATACTTTCCTACAATTCAAGAAAATCCAACAACAGTGAGAAAAGAAATACATAAAAAGTATGCTTACTGACTGCGTATCATTGAAGGTTAAAGTAGGTGTTACTTTGATTGGTCCATCATTGGGCAGTAAATAGTCGCTTGTTTGTACACCTTCATCTGAAGTACAATGTCTTGGCGTCTGATTTATTTCATATGATCTGGATGCTTGAATCTTCATTGCAATAAATTATGTATAATTGGATGTTATGCAACGGAGACAAAAGACGAAAGATTATCATTTTTTTTTAAAGTTACAACACTTTCGGTTTCCTCTACAGACACAGATGTTAATTAGTCTCTCTATTTGATAAAACTATCAGTTTTATTTTATGGACAGATTAAGAAATCAATAACTAGTTAAAGTCTACAAAACAATGCAGATTCACTTAGACCGGTGATCACATTCTAAGTTGATCGATCAAGAAATACAGAGATAGAAAATGATGACAGAGAATACTACTCAGTGGCTAATCAACTTTAGATAAACCAGTTCCATAGGACGTCAGTTGTTACCCTGATAGCTCAGTGATAACGTCTCGGACTGTAAGTTCGGGAGGTGTGGGTTCCAACTCCACAAGGGGAATCGTCTCTCTCAAAATTGCAGGTGCACCTTGCTGGAAAGTTCCAAATAGCGCAAAACCTAGATTCAGGATTTCCTGCCGACTAACTCTAACTATCTAATATCTTATACATGTGTAACACCATTGGGCCACTTGAATTAATGGCTGCAATCCAACTTGATTGGTGGAATTCAGCCAAGACTGAAGGACCAGACAAATATGACAATGGTCACTACTCGGTGATTAATCAGCTGTAAATCCATATTCGTATTTTGGATATGTTGTGTAAAGGACAAACTGGTGGATTTTAACATCGTCCAGTCGAAAAACAGAGAATATATGGTTTGAAAGTTAAATAGTTGACCAAATAGGTTTTTATTCCACGACCAATTGTGAAAGAAAGAGTATGGTAAATATAAAGACTCGGACGTACAGAGAACACCAAGCTGGAGATTCAGAAATTAGAAAATGAGTGCATAAAAATCATTGCAACTTGTCTTGATTAAAAAAGGTTCACACAAACTATGAAGTAGCGGTGACAGTGATTCGGAATAGACAACTATTCATAAAAAAATAATTAAAGATTGATTTTACAGTGACAAGTGTAGTAGTCGTGTTACTATGATTCCCATTTTCGTTACTATTGCTATTACCATTGTTATTATTATTATTAGTAGTAGTAGTGAAAGTAATAAGGATTATAAAAACAGCATGTTAAATTGCACAAATATTTCTATATTGATTTATAGGTAAAATAACGTGCGAATAACCAGTTTAAATACACAAATATTATGGAAAATAAACAAAAGAGGTGGCAAGATTTGGTTACACCGTCTGGTAGGTCTTTCATAACTATAGAAGAGGAGAAATATTATGAACTTATTTTGAATATAAGAGCGAAAAATTGCTGGCTCGATTCTTATAACCTCCACTATATTGAAGAGGTGAGCTCGAGTCCTGTCGGAAAAATGATAAATGACAACTGTGTGCGCTTTAAACTTAGATATCGAATGAGCCAGGCTTGATAGGAAAGACATATGTAATGACTTATCTGGACCACGAAGTCAGATAGTCACTAACGTATAGCAGGGAAATCGATAAATATACTTTAAGGTGATAAAACCAGGCAACCAATCCTTTGTTTGAGCAACCATCATTGAGTGACTAAAAAATGATGTATAGACTATCTAGAATAAGATTTCTTTTGGTAGATGTATGACATCGATAGCAACAGCTTTATTAGATTGAGGTCTCGGAAAGTGTTTTTTAACGAATAATTAATGTGTCTAACCCCCTTCTTATTACACATATTTTTTTCAAAAATCTTATTTGGTAGTAGATTTAAGTCAATTACATTATGAAACTTTTTGTTTATAGTCCCACTGAAATACACACTTATTTAAACAAAATACTTATTGTTCACAAAAGCTTAATCAGATTCATTAGAATCAGACCTGAAAGGTCTGCTTAGACGTTGCTGTAAACAATGGATTACTATTCGCTTTGCATCAATCTGGAAACAATACCTACATTGTGGATTACATATTTAATTAAAGTTTCTTTCATGGTATTCAGAAGATACATATATACATACAAAAATTGTGTAAAATCATTTAAAAAAATATATGAAATAAATCATAGCACAATTCCAAACGCTAACCGACCTAATTTAGTTAGCAGAGTTGGTCAACATCACTGACCGAGTAAAGAAATTGGTACTTGGTGAATAATTTACACGAACTATATACATTTGATAGAGAAAAGTTTAAGTATATTTTTTTTAAAAAAAAAAAGAAAACTACTTACATTACAATAATTTAATATTTTCAAATAGACATATGAAGAAATTCCAAATGATGAAACATTATAGTACTCAAAAAGATAAAAACCTACTTGATAAACATATTTTTTAAGTCGACATATTTCAGATATTGTTTTTGATAATTTAGATGATAAATCCTATATTGAAGATAATAGATGTTTATTATCTTTAATAGATTTAAATCATAGCTGACTTAATATAAAGTAAAAACATAAAACCAAGTTCTATTTAGTATATTTCAAAGATAGAAATTCATTTATTGAATGAAGTTCTACTATTCTATTGACCTTTAATTACTTTGAAATTTCTATATCTAAATGATTAGTCTGTGAACATGTGAATAAACCCATCGCTACAAATAGTAATAAAGTTTAAATGTGTACTTAGTTTATAAATTTGTCAAGACTTATAATCTATTATTAAAATTATTTTACGTTCAGAAACTGATTTATATGAGTCAACATTACTTTCTATCTCCATACTTCACATGAACCACATCTGTAGTTAATAGACGAATTTATATTAGCTTATATAGTATTTTTGTATATAAGAGTCCTTCCAACGGCAGAAACAGTAACCAGTTGGATTAAAAAAACCAGAGTTATGTGTACAATAGAAATTTTCTCAACCGCTTCTCTTACCTTGGCCAAACCTCAGGACCAGTTAATCTATCGTAATCTTAACTATTGAATGACCTAATTCAACTAATGAGATTGCAACCTTTCTTCGTTAAATTTAATTGTCTTTGTTATCTTTATTCACCTATCGTTGTATTATTATTATTAGTTTAACATCACTATTAATCTCCTGAATGCATAATTAATCTACTTAGCACCCACTCAACTTTATTATTTCCTATTAATTTCATATACATTTTTGACTGACATAATCTTCCACTAAACATTTGATCGAATTTGTAGCAGCATTATTATTTCTCTTGCCTTATTTGAGTCATATTTATTCTGATCATGAATCTTATAATTTCACTTATAAGCTGACTCAAACTAATACTGCATATTAGTCAACTCAACATTAACAATTTATTTCTATCTAACAATCCTAAATTCACATATTGTAGCTCCAGCTCCAGTACACTGAGAGGACAAATGGCGTATGAACCAATCGTTGGTCACCGGCTACCATGGGACTGAATCTCCTTACGATGCTCCACTGCCTTGTGGATCAGACCTTTAGGTCGAAGGCTCTGGGTGTGGCCCCCTAGGAAAGCCCCTTGCCTCGGTTCGCGCACCCGGGCAGTACCACAGTCCTCATACAAATTAAATGAGATTTGTGTGGCGCATATGTATCTAGTTTCCCCTTGTACCAGTATTTGTGTTCAAATAAATAATTAAATAAATAAATAATGCTTTAAACGATGTACTTTGCCTTACATTTGGTCACTTTTTAGATTATCAATTTGGATATATAATTGAAGAACCTGAGGGTAATTTATTGAAAAGAATATTTCCCGTTCATATATAAGTTTTGATTACGGTTGGAATTTTTAAACGATTAAACTCTAGTATTGTAACAAATCCATTGAGGATTCATAGTCACTCCGATCTATATGTATGTGTTCAACTCTTCCCAGTTCAAAAAGTAGAGGATAAATGATATAGATCATCAACTGCTGAGTCGTCTCCAAGTGAAGAAAGCGTTTAAGAGGATAACTAGTTCAATAACTAGTATATTTTGACAATGAAACATATTTTAAATAAAAACATACGCCTTACAAAGAGGGTTATTTATCAAGTATACTTTGACAAAACTTGATAGAAAGCTCAATTTTTTTGAAAAATAATAAAATTACCAAAAGTTAACCACCAAGATTAAAATAAAAAGCAAAGAATTTCATCAGATTCACTTGGATTAACCGAACTTATATCCATTTTCGTAGATTTTAAGTACTATTTGAATAATATACATATGGATAAAAAAAGATATGCGGCAATAAATACATGTTCTTTTTTCCTACCTTTTCAACTAAAGAAAGCTTTCTTTCAAAATTCCCCACTCTTTCACGGGCTTCATCAATGGAAGTTTTCAGGGACTTAGTTTGTCCATTAGAATATGCTTTGGATTCCACTAGACGACGAATTGTAGCAGACGCTACTTGACATGTATTTTCAAGTCGACTGAAAGCAGAAATGAATTAAATTAGATTGTGCACTGTGATATATTATAAAGATATAAATTCATTCGTCAGTAGCTCGATAAGACAAAATGTTCTTACCATCACCTTTGTGGATTAATGACCTATATGAAAATGTTAAGAATGATTTAGATTGAGTAAGGAACATTACTACAACTAAACCCATCAACATATTTCGGTCCTAGTTGTAAATATCCTGATAATAACGCGAAAGGTATCTAATTCCCTAGATAATTTTACTCCCTGTCTTGATCAATTTCAACTCAAATTTTCAAAATCTAATAAAAGAAACCCGTTTTATACAAAATGGTTCAGATCGTGATAGCATAACTGCTATGTTTTGACCAATTTTTATTGCCTCAGCCTGGCAAGAGGAAAATTAAGACTGAAAATAGAGCCATAGACGATGACGTCCAATTAAATTTAGCTTTCTCATGGAAGATATCAGTTATCGAATATGATTAGTTTTATTCGATCGATGTCTAGTGTTTTTGCTTTCTTTTTAAAGCGCAAGTACAAAAAAATGAATAGTGATGTTGCAGTAGTTGATAATTAAGATGAAACATAAGTTTTCGGGAAGACAGCCAAATGTAACCCTTTCGGATTTATTGTACAGAAGAATTCACTTTTGAAATCTGTAAGTACGTTTTGAATGTAATCAAGGGAATATTTGAATTTCAAGGTAGCAGTATCAGTCAGCTGAATTCCAGGTGCAAAACTTTTGAATAAATATCCAGGCTCTCTTAATGTTCACAAATGTATTTCCGGATTGTGATATATACGGAATCTTTCAACATCATCAATAATATATAACACTAAGTTTGTCTGTAAATATAAATCATGAGCGAGAATTGTCATCCAACTAATCACGAAAATTTGTCAATGTATCTAATTGGACTGAAGAAATTAGGGTATAGTTTGTATCAATTGTGGATTGCTTACTGTTGATCCCAGATAATTTAAAATTAAGTATTCTGAACTGAGAACATTAATAAGATTTATGTTAGTCAGGTAAGCAAAACCTAGAAAAACGGTTTATCAGTAGTTTTTATGGATATATTCGACATGATTTTAGTGGTGATTATTCTTAACTTCGTTAAATGCAAACTGGGTATTATCAGTAATACGTACCAAATTAGGATATCCCAAGAGTATAGCTTGAAACTGTTATCACGCTTTGTGATATTACTTTGCTTGTCTATAAAAAATAACCACTAATTCAACATCGAAAAATCATAGCTGAATTTTTCCAGATGATTTAGTCAGTAGTTCACTAAATTTATGACGGCGAAACATAAACATGACTACAACATCTTAGCACTAATCGTTCTAAAAGATTGAATGAGTCGTACTTACCGAAATATTAATTACTAATTAGTGCTTGTGATTTTCAGTAGCCACTGAAGAATTGAATTGATAATTGTTACAATAATGGAAATTTTTTAAACAGAACGAACATTTTGAATATTTTTGTTAACTATATAAATGTTCTCCATTCCCTCTTTCTACCTGTGATAAATATGGCTCAGATTTTTCCCAGGCTCTTTGTTGTCTCCGTTTGTTTACTTATAAAGATTCTGTCATGATAACCAACGTATTCGTTTCCTTATCAGTTGCTCTCTAATTATATAAAAACTAAAATTAGCTTATAAGTACCATCTCAAACAACACCTCATTATTACAACTCAATAATCAAATACGGCATTATGTTATGGATAATTAGTCATACTGACTGAATGGACGTTGATGTAGCACTTAGATTTACAAACTTTGATTGACGAAGAGTTCCGAAATGTGGCATGTTGATTGAAAATCAAGTATCTAAACCAATGAGTTAGAAATCCTAATTTTATGGAAGAGATTATTAGAAGATTTATTCTATGTTAACAAAAACTTTACTTAAATTCAAGTAAATAGATACATTCAAGTAAGTGAATCTAAAACTAACTGATAGGGGTGGTTTTCGTAGACCTGAACAGCAATCCATTTGATCAGAAAAATATACCAAGTTTAATAATTTTAAATTATTGGTAAGTAAATCGATTACCTTATTTCTAACATTTTATCTATGAGGGTATTATTAGCTTCACTCAGTTGATTTTCCAAGTACTTAACTTTATGAGTAATTTCTTCTTGATCACTGAGAGCCTGCTGTAACTGTTGTAATGGTGATGATAAGTCAGTAGGTGAAGTTTGTCCATGTTTAACTGATATATTGGGTGTTGAATTGTGTTTTCGATGTAACAGCAAGTTTAAACGCTTTGCCATGGTTTTTTCTTGACGTTTTACAGATTTCTGAGAACCATTGATAACTGACTTTTTCATTTCAGCTTCACGAGGAAGGCGATGAATCTCCGAAATTTTATTTGTGAGTGATGCTTTGGTAATCATTAATTCTTCGGCCTATGAAGAAATTAATAATTAGAGAAATTGGCTCAAAAATACCTGAAGCTTAATTGTATTTTTATGATCATTTAACTGTTTACTAAGTTTGTCGATGGCTAACTGATGCTCTTCTTTCATCTCTTTAATATTATTCTTTTGATTGGTTTCCTCTTGTAATTTTATTTCAAATTGAGATTGCAATTCACCATACCGTTTCTGAATATCAAGTGTGCTATTTTTTTGATCAGCCAACTGTTGTTTCAGTGATGAAATAATTTGTTCATTTTTTTGTCTAGATTTCAAGTTGAAAAATGATAAACAACGTTTTAAGTATGATCTAGTATTGATTCCAAGATTCTGCCTTGACTTTTTGGTTAAACTAAATACCTAAATGTTTTATTGAAACCAGGTCACTTGTATATAGGTATATTGAATAAAAAAATGCACTGGAATGATAAAATGGTAGTCTACACACGGACAAAGTAAGGGGACTAATTATCTTGAATACGGTTTGAGTTGTTTGACTGGTTGATACCTTAGTTTTAATTTAATAAGTAATAACCTAATAGTCGATGCACTGACTCTGTTTTTCAAACGGATAGTGGTTAATTAGTAAGTTGTGTAACATCACGACATTGCGTAGTCCATTAAAAAATTGCAATAAAAAGTTAGTACAGAACATATACGTATGCAAAATTTCTTAAGGTGCCACTTCATAAGATTACATTCAAAGTATTCGGCGTATAGTGTTAAACTGCATTCAACCACCAATACAATAACAATCAGAGGATTCAACAAGAAACTGTGAAGACAAACGATTAAGGCGAGTTATTCTACGTAAAATATCTCCAAAGACCGCAAGAAACTACAATCTACAGGAAGCCCTTAAAAGTGGGTTAAACGATAACTAATAATGAAGTCTAGATGTCACTCGAAAATCCAACCGAAATTCGAACGAAACATAAACTACTGTAAACATTATGAACCATAAAAAGGTTAGGTGAGATTAGATATTGTAAATGAGAGAAGCCCTTACTGTTAAACATTTGAAAATTTATAAATAAACAAGTTTTATCTCAAATTTTACGAATGCTGAAGGTTATGTTTCATAAGGATTTATAAAACTTATAGTCAAATTTCAGTGAGCCACTTTAGGTTTTCAAGAACTTAATGCTAACGCTCTTCAAGAACTTTGAATTGGCACATTAACGAGTAGGTCCCAGGTTTGAACCGGCTTCACCTTCCTAGGTTTGAGTAGCCAACACAATCGACAAGGCTCAAAGCTGAGTACAAAAACCTGTGTTCAATATATGGGGTAACTACATAGACTGAAGTTAAGAAATAATAGTTAATTCAGTAGAGAAAATTTAATTTCGTATTTACGTTTGTATTTATAGTTGTTTGGCAAATATATAGCTATAGAATAATAAAAAAGATTGAGTTACAAAATGATTTCAGATGTAACCTTTCCTATTTTTCTATAGATATATACATTTGCTAAACAACTATAAGTACAAATGTACAGTTTGAGTGAATAGATTCGTCGAAAAAAGATTTCTCCACTGAATTCTCTTTGTTTTTATTTAGTGACACAATAGGTTGCTTTGACAGTGAAGTCTACAAATTAACATATTAGAAAACAGCTTCAATACTTTATTCCCAAATCGAAAAACAGCTATTTATGAATTAAAGGACTAGATTAAACGTATCTGACTACTGGCATCATCATAAATCTCGTGTCTTTCACAACTGGTACCTGGCTAACGAAAATGAAATAAAAATGGTGGCATCTGAACTTCTAAATCAGTGGTTAAACATGGAACGCTGGAACCAAGATCACAAAAAACTATCACAAGAATATCATTAAATTTTTCTGCAATTCCTCCCGTGTAATAAAGTCATAAGGTGATTACTGCAAATTATGAAATAAACAGGATATGTGATGTTTATATAACTAAGTGAATAGAATGGCCAAAATTTTGAGCTGTTTAATTCTATTTTAACATAAAAATGAGTGTTCATCAGTCCTAAAATCTCATCAACCATATGGTAAGATAAAAAAACTTTTATTTTAGTGAGTTTCACAAACAGGACTAGCCAGAATAACTGCCTAATGAACCATACCATCTATTTGATGTCAAATGTTGTACCTTGTGGTAGAATATTAGCTTTAAAAAACAGGAATCAAAAGGCTTGACTTCTAATCTGTAAGAAATAATCAATGTGAAATATAAACATTCTTACCGAAAATTACACAGTTCATGAGTCAGAAATCGGATAAAAACAAGAAAAAAATTAAATACGATGAAAATCGCCCAGCATTTACAAGTCGATGAATTTTTAGGTTGACTGAAACCTTTACCAAGTATTTATATCAATATCATGCTGAATAACAAAATCAGGCCTAATGATTATATGTCAACGATAGGACAGGAAGTCTATGAGCACACTTTTTATTCAACTTGCACTGTAGAAAACATCTCCTTGGTGAAAAATGACGTGTGATTATTTGACTTAGGCTAGAGAATAACAGTAAGGAGACAAGTTGCCGTACTACTGAAAAATGATTAGAAGTTCGACTTTGCTCGACTGTAACATCGAGTAACCAGAAACAGAAATTAGATTGCTTTATAATCTGGACAACTGTCCCATTTTTATAGTGGCTACCGCATATATTTATTCACATTATATTTCACTATTTATATCCGAATATAATATACAAAATTAGGTACACTTCGAAATAACTATTCTACAAACCTGGATAGTCGACCGAAAAGTAAATGACACACCTTAATCTCTCGTAATCGGCTTTCAGAGCTTCATTTTCAGTCTCTAAATTACGTAGATGCATTGAGAAATCACTTTTTTCTGCAACTAATTGCTTTTGATATTTCCTTTGGAGATTACTGTAACTAGCTTTCATTGCATCAACCTTGTGACTTAATTCCTCAATCTGCTTGCCATAACAAATCCTTGGATCTTTGGATTCAACCATTTCAAGGCGCCTAAAAGCATCTTGTAGCTATCAAAACAGTTTATTAAATAAAAAAACAACTTACATCCCTTTCTTTTTCGTTAACAAGACCCTGAAGCCTGTCGTTTTCAGACACCTTAATCGACAGCTTTCTTTCAAGGGCTTTAAGATCTTTTTCCCACTCACATTTCTTCTTCTCAATGAGCATATCAATCTCAACTAAAAGCTCCTGTAATTCATACTCAAACTCAGATATGTGTGGCACAAGAAAACCAAAGTTTTTCAATCTAAAAATCTCAAATTTACGAAACTTCAGTACTTATTATTCTCCAGCTTCCGCTCCACATTGGTTGACTGACCAATGGAAGACGAAAATCCCAAGGACATGTCAAGCAATTTAAAGGAACACAAAACAATAGGTTTGGTTTATTGACGCCAACAAACAAAATAAACGTTTGCAAAACAACAGTGTGCGAATTTCTGAAATAACTTCATTATCATATGCTTTCGCGGAGGTCAGGAGATAGAATTCATTAATTTTTGCGCAGTATATCTATAAGGATTCGAAAGATTTCTCTGTCGATTTATAGTTTTGATTTCCTGATTACCATGACATCGTGCCTGCACCGATGCTAATGATTGCCACTTTCTTCCATCGTAGCTTTAAATGAAACAGCTCTGAGTATTTTGCATTTGGCTCTCCTAAAAATTTTTAGAACCGATGAAATGTGACTGAGCCTTAGCCAAATCGTCCAGCAGGAATGTTACTCAATATTAAACAATATGTTGATCGGCTTCAGGGTCAAGGACAACCAACACGCATCAATCGACTTCACATGAAGGATGAGCATATGTGCTGGTGATCACACTCTGTTTCCTTTATCTTTTCCTACTGATGAATTTCTGCAGAAACATTATCTAGCTATTGTACCTGAGTACGACTAAAGGGTATTAAGTGAAACGTGTGATATTGATGTAAGCTAGCAGGTCAAGCCACTCTCATTCAACTGGAATAGACCTTTAGCCATTGGCAAATATCTCACACCTTTGTGATCTACGCAATCATTCTTCTACCAACCGGATTCTTTTAAACTGTTCAGGAGTTTGTGTGCAGAATTTAGGTTTTCGCCCACCGAGCTATTTACTTTGCCGTCGACGTTTCACTGACGGTCGCATTTGAGGCTTTGTTGTATGAAATGGGTGAAAGCGTAACAATCATTAGTAAATTGGTTATATGTGGCAATCTAATCCTTTTGCTTCATTCATCTGAATTTATATTTCATGTTTTGGAGCTATACAAAATACTTAAAGTTGTTACACTCAATATTTGCCTGATTGGTACCAATAAAGCGAACTATTTCACTATACCGAATTGATATACGGTTTGTCGAAAGAAATTCTGTTAAGAATAATATAGGTTATTGGTCAGCGAAAGTCCAGTGATGACTTATGTATATAACGTTCCACATAACTATCACAAAACGTAATAAGTTAGAAACTCGTTTTCATACCTTCTAAATTAATTTATGTGTTCATTGGGCTGTCCTAAATAAGTTATATGCTGACCTTCCTGTTTGATCGGCGATTAAGTCTATTCTTAGAAATAACACACATATTACTATTAATGGCTTTATTCAATATTATATTTTGGTACATACTTCACACGACCAAAATCCTAACACAATTATGCTGAGACTGGATCTGGTGTGTAACGTGGACGCAGTGCCACTTTGGAGAAGATTTCGAAGACTATTTAGTATATCTGAAGTAATGAACTGATATTCACTTCTATAGACTATATTTATTTAACATGCATGCTGTGAAACCATAAATGTTGTAATTTGTAGATCATGCCTGTATAAATGGCATGTACGTGCCCTTGCGGAAATAAAAAAAGAAGTAACCTCGATCAACTCTTCAACATTTGGCTGCCACAAAAATGCGTTTACATATAGCACATAATAGTACTAGTAGTACTCTAACCATAACGTGATATTGAAAATCGGCCGTCCTTTGAATATTTTCTAGTCGAATTTGATTCTGTTATTTTCGCATCTCATATGCGTACATTGACGACTATTTGGTAGGAAATCACTATAAAGAGAAATGACACAAACGACGAATATGATATTTACAGGACTTTAAGACTACTCGACCAAGACGATCAATCGAAAGTGGTAAAGTAGCAACACAAGCTGGAACCCAGCATTCATACAATCGGTATCTCATATGTTACGCGTGCGAACAACCCAGTTGCAGGTTCCTTGTCTCAAGCATGCGAATTTAACTGTTATGCAGAAAAGACCATCCAATAAGATGGAATGAATATGGTGACATCTTCAGTAGATCAGACAGCTTGTCCTAACTAAATCCCTGAGAAACTGTGGTGTTTGAATGGACTAATGATTCCTTTGTAATTGTTGAATGCTTGATTTCGAATTCCTAATACAGCACATTCGTTTGTGCTTATCTAGTACTTCTTGATCCGATTGCGTTATTTCTGTGATTCTTAGTTCACACTATAATAATATATATTTCTGCATGGGCAGGTACACGCCATTTTTACAGGCATGACCTACAAATTACAGCATTTGTTGGTTCACAACATGCTTCCCAACTTATTAAGTTTATAGTTTTTATAAAGTAGACTCGTAGTGTGCTTGCTGTAAACTGTGACCTTGAGGAGACGCGTACGTCAAGTTTGTTCCGGACGTCAGAAGTTTCATAGCTGTACCCTCAGAGCAAGTTTTGAAGAAAAATAAAGAGAAACAGAAGAGCAACAAGGCACTTGAATATGACCGCCAAACGTTGCTTAACATTGTGTAGTAGAACAGACAGAGGTATAAGAAATTAGAATAAATTCATATTATCTCTTGTTAGAGTGAAATGAGGTCAAAGGCTCCATATTAGAGAATGTAGCGATAAAGAACAATGAGTTGGGTCGTTTAACAAGTTGAAGTAAGCTCACACGAAGGAAGGGAATTCAAGGTTGGTACAAGGAAAGCGGTTTATTAGTAGGGTGTGTATATAGAGGGTGAAGTGTTAAGAATACTAATGACTCTATCTTTTGTTGTCTAACTTTTTCTTCCTTTTTTGTCTATCCGATGCCAGCCACACAATCCTAGTGTAAAAGTCCGAGTTAGCATGTTATAGGTTGTCTTAGAAGAATGGCTAATCCAGCATAAAATTGGAAACATGAGTCTGAGTGGTGAGCGTAGGAAGACAATCTATATCACAGATTGATTGACTTGTTCTCAATCATAAGGAGCCTGATACATACAAAATGTTCTGCCCACAAACATGGGTGGATTGAAGTCATCGCCCCCACCATCAATGCTTGCTTGTCAGTAACGCCACCCTCTCACATTTTGTACTGTTAGGTTCATTTAAGTTTATTTTTAGATATGTCGTACCTCACGCAACCCTCTGTGTTTCACATCCTGTTGGAAAACACTACTTCTATAAGTACCATTTTACAAGCTTATCAGACAGTTACAGGTTATGGATTGTGGGTAAGGCATCGATGCAGTACTTCTGTTGACTATAATATAAAGCATAGTTTGCCAAACAGAGTATAAGCATTAATAAGGGTATAACGTAGGATAGTTGTTTATTTAAGCAGGTGGAAAATTATAGAAGTATGAACTGTAGATAAAGTAACAAGTGGGAAAATAATATTAACTACTAGTCAACATAGTGTACAGAAGATTAAAAAACTAATAAAGAATAAACAGGAAGAAACTCATACTAACTTGGTGCTGATGTTATTTTGTGTTGTCCTAACCAGCTGATTGGTTACAGGCTCCATAAATGCAAGACCACCTGTAGTAGGCAATCGGTTGTGCGGTCCTCTTGACTTTCTGAGCGTGGTAGTGAGTGTCCCTTAGCGAACGAGTTTAGTTGAACGGTATCGATAGGTTCAGTGAGTTACCTGTCTACTTCAAATGAAGAAATGGGGCGGAAAAAGTAACTAATACAACTGCAAAGTAGGAAAAATAAGGCAAACTGAACTTGAAGTTCATTTTGGTCTAGAAACGAAGAGAGCTTATGATGTCTGAGTGAGGCGCAGATGTGTTCTTACGTGCTAGATCAGTGCAAGTGAGGGCTTGATCAAGCAGTTTTACAAACGCATTTGATTCATCTGCCATGCGAATTTTGGAGGGGAAACTGTTCCATATTATGGCATACTTGGTGCGGAAGAGGTTTTCCCGAGTTTTGATCTGTATTTCTCAACCTTGATCGTAGAAACTTTGTTTCGAAGTTCGTATTCATGTGAATCTCTAGTAAGAACTATCTTACATGTTGAATAAGTAAGGTTTTTGAGTAGATTAAAGTAGAGAATCAAATAAAACCCAAGCCTTCACTCCCAAAGGGAAGCTATTCCTAAGATTTGGCATCGTGAACTGTAGTCAATGACTGAATCATTCTTAAGTAATTTGCGGGTGAAGTCTCGTTGTATTCCTTCCACCTTTAATATATCAGATAGGCGTAGGTTAGAAAATAAGAACGAGCAGTATTCAGCGATAGGCCTTACACAAACTTTATAAAGAAGGATTTTAGATTCAGTTTGATAGAAATTACGGAGAATGAAGCCAAGCAATTTCCTTATTTTAGATGCTTTGGTTGAGATGTGTTCAGAGAAATTAAGACTGTGTGAGTAATGCACCCCTAGGTCAGTTACTGATGCCAGTCTGGGCAGTGTGTGATTGCTAAGTGTTAGTTTTATTTTATGAGACGTGTTGAGCTCTAACCTCTAGCGTTTGTACCAGTTGTCTACCATGTTGAGTTCATGTTGGATTGTTTGCATAGTACTACGTACATCGCAAATGTCAGTTTTATAGATGACTTTTAAGTCATCGGCATAGAGGTAGGTCTTACCTGTGCTTAAGCACTTGCATATATTGTTGATGTAGATTATGAAGAGCGATGAACCCAAGACACTACTCTGCACAACACCACTGGTTATTGGTCGAGGTGTGGATGCTTTAGAGTTAATCTTGATTATTTGATATCTGTTCGTAAGAAAAGACTTGATCCATTGCAAAAGGAGATTTATAATTCCGACTGGCTTAAGTCTGTTGGTTAAAAGACTATGAGGTACTTTATCAAAGGATTTCTTAATATCGAAGCATAGTATAATAACTAGTTTCTTCTGGTCGCGTATACGAGTCACCTCGTTAAAGAAGTCTATCAGACATGTACTGAACGATCTTGTCCTAATGAAGCCGTGTTGTGACGGGTCTATTAGATCTTCCTTAAGTAGGTGATTACATAGTTGATTTTGTATCACTTTTTCCATTATGCGTGATATGACTGGAGTGATATTTATAGGTCTGCAGTTTTCGACCAGGTTTCTCGGTCCGGATTTGGGTTTGGGAAGAACATTC